TATGGAAATTGTGCATTAAAGTGATATTTTTTTTCCACAATTGGTTATAAAATTTGTTTCCATTGCCAAAAAGTAAAAAAAAAAGGAAAAAAAAATTGTTTCCTAAAAAATCATTTTTTAATCAAAGTTTAGTATTCGTTTGACTTTGTTTTACATGAAAATTGTTCATTAAAGTGAATTTTTTTTTCACCATTAGTTATGATATTTGTTTTCATTGCCAAAAAAAAAAAAAAATTTCCGCCAGTCGGGAAAATATTTTTCCACAAAAAAGGCGGGAAACCATTTTCATCAAAAACCCGGAAATTGCACACGTGTGGGGAAAATCCGGAAAATATTTTCCGTGGAAAATTTCGCCTATCAAACAGCCAAAAAAGTGGAAAGTGGAAAATATTTTCCTACTTCCCTGAAAAATGTGACCTATCAAACACGGCCTAATTTTCTATAATATTTTAGAATGTATTATGCTGGGTTGAAGGAAGTTGCATTTATATACGTAGGCTACAAATTTATTTATCATAAATTTGTAATTCAACCTTGTGTTTTTGTACTTTTTGTCGCAGCCTTTCAGATTAGTACCGAATTTATCCGTAACCATTTTAATTAGAAAAATCCACCCCCAACCTTTAGTATATCTTCAAAGGATAAAACTACTTGTACAAAAAATGTGAGAGGGTGGACACCATTTTGTACAAAAAATTTTGTACACATAGCATGGTCCATTTTCAAAATGCACTTTGAAGTTTTAATTCAAATTTTCATTTATTACTTAGCCTCTGTTTGTCTACCGTTATTCCAAAAAATTATTTGCTAAAAGAAGATTCACCGCTACACATTCACAAAATAAAATATTCTACACACCGTCTCAAAAAAAATAAAAAATTATACACACAAATCAATAAAGTTACTTTAAATTTCAATAACACATTCTCCAAAAAATACTATTCATTACTCTATTTTTCTCCTAATTATGGGAGACAAATACACCCTTAATTTTACCACTCTCAATCATCTAACGAACCACATTGCGATAAAGAGGTAATATGCACGGTTACATCAATTTATTTTGATAGATGACGTGGACACATTGTCATGTTCTATGCATTAACTGTGTGATATTTTATTGTTCTAATTGCATTTTCACTCATTCATAACTTTCATATAAATAATAAGTTTACAGATAGAAATATGTTCGATTCTACTCGAGAGAAATTGTCGACCGTTAATTTCATGATTGTTTGAATTAAAATAGATAAGTGTATCCTAGTGCCTTTTTCATATTCGAAACTTCTCAGAAAGTCTTCAACATGGTTTTTAGTTAATTAAGTTAGTTTTTTTTTTTTTTAATAAAAAATTGGTAAATGTTATAAACTATATGACTGGATACATTATAGGAACGAAGTGATTCATCATTTTATTATTTGTTCATGATACCACACACTTTCAAACAAAAAAAAGTTGTTTAAAAAAGTTATTTATTTAAATTTACTTATAAAGTCATACACTCCAGTATTTTAATTTACTCTATTTTAGTTTTGTAGCGAAGAGGGCATGCATGGCAATAACACCTTCGTGGTTGCTTACTATTTGCCCGTGGGTTGAATGAAGGAGGTCGAGCATTAAGAATGAAACAACAATTGTTGAGTTTGAAGATGATTTAACGATATTGGTTAGTTGTACTCAGTTGACACACTTGATAAGTTAAACATTGAATAAACAACAACATTAATAAAGAAAAACAAAATAAAAACTTCGTAAATTCTACCGCAAACATTACATATCAAGTTGGTAGTATAATAACTTTTAGTATCATATTCGAGGACCAATCAAACTTGAGTTAGTAAGTCACAATCATTAAAAATTCAAAGTTATTGAAGTAATGATGGAACTTTAGTTCAAATTTTATGCATTTAAATTTTTAGATCCCTTTTTCTCACATGCTTTAAGTTAAAGCAATATTTTGTACCAAAAGAATTGTAATGAAAGGCATGATAGGTTAGGCCTTCATCACAACAGGGCACAAACATCACTCTTTGAGGGTCCCACAATGATCCAAACCACACACCCTATTTTTTATATTTTGCTCTCACATTAAAATTTTCATTCTCAATCTTTTACTCATTTTCATTATATTCTAGAATGAAACATGCCTTCATTATTTCTAAATATGGAATCTATCACATCTATTTAGACGGCAAGAATTAAAAAAGTTATTATATTAAAGCCCTGTTTGGTACACATTATTTTTTTCATTCTCAATCTTTTACTCATTTTCAACCACACATTCTTTAATAAAATAATATTTTTCATCACATCAATAATTTTTCCTTATTTTTCAACCACAAATTCTCCATCAATTTATTATTTCAAAATACATTTTTCCAAAATAATGTGACTCAAACACACCTTTTATAAAAGTCACACGTGTCCCCTGTTTGGTCTGGATTAAAATCCAATTAAAATTTGAAATCAAAGTCAACCATTAATTTTGACCACACATTTTATGGGATCCACAAATATGGGCATGATTTCCGTTCGTTTAAATTATTAATAAATTTTTAGGATGAATAATAATGGTACCCATCACATACAACTTCTCATATTTTTTTTATAATTAGAATTTTAACGAAAGAAAAAATACTTATTTTTCCAAAACTTTTGGTGATCCCGAAATTCATGTATTTCTCTTAAGGGGTAGCAAATTATACATTATTAATTGGCCAACCAAAGTAAGAATTACAATTTTTACTTCTTTTGGTACAACAGTGAATTAAGGGGAAGCTGTCATCTAAATCGGTGATAATTTATACTAATGATGATGAGTAAAATTACTCAAAGGATTGAAAACGAAAATCTGATTCTCGATTTGAATAATAAGAAATCGATAAATTTGAATTTGATTACGTCTAAATTGACAAATTAGATCCGAATCTAGACCCGGCCCACCCGCCAAGCCTGCGGACTTCTTGTACATGAATTACTCGCAGAATTCAGTCTATTCTTCCAAATGGAACCAATGGGTGGATCAAAAAATTCAGGAATAAAGATGCTCATCAAGGGCAAAATAGTAACTTCAACCTGCTGATATTTGTCTACGGAGAAAGAAGACACAAGCTTCTGCCCTATTCAACTTTGGTCGGCTAACTCCTTCAATTTTTCCACCTATAATTTTCTTTTAATTCCTATTTTGGGTTCGAAATTTCTAGTATTTCCATTTAAGTACTGCCGACTAAACACTAACTAGCAAAAAAAAAACTTATTTGACTATAAATCCAATTTTTTAACGTGCAAGTCGATCACGAAATTAATACTTATTACTCTTTATAGTTTATACCTAAATATTTTTCTGAAAAATACATTCCTTGAAGGGCAAATCGGTCCAAATACATTCTAATCTAGTCGTTTTACTGAAATAAAAACAAAAAGTAAGCTCGAAGTCAGGTGATCGACATGAAACGAAACAAGTTGTACGAAGTTTTGAGTGAAATTTCGGACATAACGGTGAAGGGCAAATTGGTCCAACACAATTCAAATTAGCCGTTTAATCATTTTTTTCAAAAAATTACTACCTGTCAACAAATCATATAAATTGCAAAATACTTTTACAGATATTAAAATGCAGATATAATTTCCCTGTCACAAAGCAAAAGAAACCTATGCATACACATATAGATACACTTGAATATACACACATACACATTTATAATCATTATCGTCATCATCAAACCCTCAATTTCAGTCTCCCAAGCAATATCCTAAAATTTATTTGTTAAGAAATTAGGGTTTTTTTCATCTCAGATCTGTTCGAATTTTCCCATTTTTCAGTCACAAGGTATATTTTTATTTATAACATGGATGATTTTAAGGGTCTGGTTATGAGTAGTTTTTTTTTTTTGTTGAGATAGGTTACTTGTTTTAATTTTTAGGGCTAAATTTACACTAGCACAATCGGTGATTGAAAGTTATTGTCGGAATTGATTGATACGATCAAATTGAATTGGGGTCGCCTGTGTCTTCAATTTGATGTGTTGCTTTGATTTCGATTTCTCCCCTCCTTGCGTTGTAAGTCTCGTTTCATCCCATTTTCCAATGAATTCGTAACTGTTATTAGTGGAATTTTGGGCTTTGAATTTTTGGTTAATCTTTTATTGTATTTTGTTGTTCGAAGTGTGGAAGATTAGATCTTGAAATTGGCTCCGCAAAAGCGATCTATGCGCCACATGGGTGGCCAGATGCAGCAGAGCAATGCGGCGGCTGCCACTGCTCTGTATGAGAACCCGGGACCCACGGTATCTAGTGGAGATGCTGGGGACGCCGTGATGGCGCGGTGGCTCCAGTCTGCAGGGTTGCAGCATCTGGCCTCTCCAATGGCATCCAACACTGTTGATCATCGCCTACTACCTAACCTCATGCAGGTGCATATACGATTTGATCTCTCTGCAATTCTGATTTATCCTGAAATTATTTGGTTTTGTTTTTCTCCATATATAGTGACTCGAATTTTGTTGAAAAAGTATTAGTTTATTCATTGGGAATGTGGAAGTTAGAAAACTTAAATTTGCAATGTTATTTAGAATGTGTTGTGTCATTTATTGTCTACTAATTTCATCCCTAGGCGTGTGAGGGAGAGATGTAATGTTCACCATTTTTGAGGAAGCTGGACTGATTTATACTGCTATAAGTTCTGAGTATAATTCTTTTTCATGCAGTATTATTTTTTTTGCTGAAATTTTGTGTAGGATTTATTGTCAGTGTCGAGTGCTCTGATCAATCATAGTAATTAGTATTTTGTGCTGTAGCTTAAAAAGATGCTCACTGGATCTTCCTTAAATCTATATTTTTGGTGTCTCGTGATTATTATGTACCTTCTATTTAATTTCATATCACTGTATGACTGAAAGATTTTTTTACTTGTTTCTTTCCATTTATATGTCCTTTGAGTTTGTAACTAACAGGGAGAGTTTGATGTTTGAAGAGTTATGGAGCACAATCTGCAGAAGAGAAACAGAGGCTTTTCAAACTAATGAGGAATCTCAATATTAGTGGGGAATCTGGTTCCGAGCCTTACACTCCAACTGCCCAAAATTCGGGTGCATTTGCTGCATCAGATGGCATTTATTCACCCGAGTTTAGAGGGGATTTTGGAGCTGGGCTTCTCGATCTACATTCTATGGATGATACTGAGCTTTTATCTGATGTACATACAAATATTTGACTTGGAAAAATTTGAATTTACTTATCACAACTAGCAAGTGATCTTAACTGATAATGCACAATTTTCCTGATTTTTTTCAGCATGTTATCTCAGAGCCATTTGAGACATCTCCTTTTATGCCTGCTATATCCAATGCAATTGAGAGTAACTTTGACGTGATGGTCAACAGGCTTCAGAAAGGGCAGACAGATGCGGATGCTCCTGTTGTATTTCCTGCGAATGAAAAAGAAAGTGGTACAAGGGAAAACAATGTGGCTAAGATTAAAGTTGTGGTATGTTCCTCAAGCAACATTTTTCAACCTTCTCTTCCCCTCTCCCCAGTGAGGTCTAACTTGCCAATGTTGCATGAAGGATGTCTGAGGAACTAAATGAAAAATGTGTTCTTTCTTTCTCAGGTGCGCAAAAGACCTCTTAATAAAAAGGAAATTGCCCGTAAGGAGGATGATATTGTCACCGTATGTGATGATTCTTCTTTGACTGTGCATGAACCCAAGTTAAAGGTTTGGAAGCATTAGAGCATCGTTCCTATTTTGAATTTTTAATAATTATGATATGAAGGTGGATTAGAGCTAAGTGTTGGATACTTTTCTTTATATGTCTGACTTGGGGAATTCACGTTGGATTATCATATTGAAGGTGGATCTGACTGCCTATGTAGAGAAACACGAGTTCTGCTTTGATGCCGTTCTAGATGAGAATGTAGCAAATGATGAGGTAATACACCTTCAACTTAAGCATATATATACATTGCTTTCTACATAGATATACTTGCTTTGCATTCTTTTTACTTTTTTAAATTTCCTTTTTCTTTTTTTCCTCCATTATTATTTTTATTTAGCGGTGAGGTGCTGGACCTGGTGGTTTGGAATTGTGAGCGATTGGTTGACATAATACAATGATTACTTCTGTTAATTTGTTTTCTGCAAGGCTTGATTGCTACATTTTGCTTTATCAGGTATACCGCATTACAGTGGAGCCAATCATCCCTACCATATTTCAGCGTACAAAAGCAACATGTTTTGCATATGGTCAGACAGGTATGAGGAGCCTCTTTTTTTTCATATTGCATTAGGTTGCATCTCTATATAGTGTTGCACAGATTATGGTCGCTAGTACTAGGAGCCAGGGCGCATCTTAAATTCTATGCAGTGACAATATTCAGGATTTAAGTTCCTGTTCATGTCTGTCGATCGCCATGGTTTCTGTTTGTCTGCTCTCGACTTACAGGGACACTGGAAAGTATGGGGGGTTAAGGAATGATATCCCTGGATTTATATTAATTGGACTTTAGTTGTCAAGGCCATCACATGTAAGTCACCCCGTTATCGCTCACGCATCTTTGTTTTGATTTCGACTACCTTATGTGATTAAATTTTCGAGTTCTTTCGAGGTTAATTGGAGCCAAGATCAAATGGTTTGATGTAGCTAACTAAGCTCCTGCTTTTTGTACACGAATAGGTGTACATATTCTAAAGTTTTATTTGGATGACTGACCTCTCTTTTCTTTTCTATTTTAATTTACTTTCCAGGGAGTGGTAAGACTTACACTATGAAGCCACTACCTCTTAGAGCTGCTGAAGACCTCGTTAGATTGTTGCACCAGCCAGTTTATCGTGATCAAAGATTCAAACTATGGCTTAGCTTTTTTGAGATATATGGTGGAAAGCTATTTGATCTTCTAAGTGATAGAAAGTTAGTATTCTATTACTTTGTACTTTGATTTTCTTTCCTCAAGTATTGATTATTTGTGCCAGCGCCCACGCTCATGTTTGAATTTACATTACTTGGAAAATGAATTTGTGAAATCATCTTGAATGGTAGTGTTTGAAATGGCTCTTGATGATGTTTGCATCCTTTGCTCATAATTTGTATCCAGGAACATCATGCATCTTTGATATGACACAAACTTCAAATAAATGCGATTGTTATATGGTGTTCACAATTCTGTTTCCCTGATAATAGTTTAATGTTCAGTGATGTTTCCAATTCTTTTTGTAGGAAACTTTGTATGAGAGAAGATGGGCGGCAACAAGTTTGTATTGTTGGACTACAAGAATTTGAAGTGTCTGACGTGCAGCTCGTGAAGGATTATATTGAGAGGGGAAATGCGTCTAGAAGTACAGGTTCCACTGGTGCTAATGAGGAGTCATCGAGGTCACATGCAATATTGCAGCTGGTTGTGAAGAAGCACAATGAGGTGAAAGACTCTAGGCGGAATAATGATGGAAATGAGTCCAAGGGTGGGAAGGTTGTTGGGAAGATCTCCTTCATTGATCTTGCTGGTAGTGAGAGAGGTGCTGATACAACTGATAATGACCGACAAACACGGTACTAATTCTGGTAGACATGTGGCCAATGGCTTGTGTCTTTGCATTTTCCTTTTGGTTTTTATATCACAAGCTACATTTTCATTTGCATCTTGCCATGTTTCAAAAGCCTTATTCTTCTAATATCACGTTGCTCTTTGTTAAAGAGGTCTTTTTTTTACGATTGAATTCTGTTCAATAGACTAGAAGGAAATATAACCAACCGCCTGTCCTTTCACTTTAGTGGTTGTGAATCTTGTGATCACTGGTCACTAAAAGTCTTTTTTAAATAATAATTGATAACTCTACTTCTTATATGTTTCAGTGAGGTGTAAGATTAAAAAATGAAAGATTACATCACTGCAAATGTATTCATTTTTACCAGCTTTGAGGGATTTCAGTGCTATGGCTGCTTAATAATATTTGAAAAAATTAGTGGGTTGGTGTTTGATATTAATATTAAACAATAAATATTACTTTTTTGGTGACGGATCACCATTCACGATAGTTTATGATGCTTTTAGCTGGAATGTGCACTTACTGATCAGGTGTATGTTATGCTCTAAATTACCTCCTCATTCTCAACTTCCCTCCTTTCACTGTGGCTTGACAATATCTGTCCTATAATTCGCTCAATGATTATTTTTGGTCTTTGCACCCTTTCTTACACGAATGTTTGATATATGTATCTTATCTAGACATATTTGAAAAGTCTTTTAGCAACTTTTCTCAAGGGCCAGTTTTGTAACTCCAGGTGATGTGTTTTGTTGTTTCATAGGATTGAAGGAGCAGAAATCAACAAGAGCCTTTTGGCTTTGAAGGAGTGTATTCGTGCTCTTGACAATGACCAGATCCACATTCCATTCCGTGGGAGCAAACTCACTGAGGTGCTTCGTGACTCCTTTGTTGGCAACTCAAGGACCGTTATGATCTCTTGCATTTCTCCTAACGCTGGTTCCTGTGAGCATACCCTTAATACGTTGAGATATGCGGATAGGTATGTTTGTTTATATGTGAGTTAATATCTTATTTTACTTAACCATGTGGCTTAAGCTTGTAAATCGCTTTGAGTTGGCAGGGTTAAAAGTCTTTCCAAAAGTGGAAACCCAAAGAAGGATCAAGCTTGTTCATTACCGCCTATTATCAAGGAATCTTCATTAGCACCGTCTCCATCTGTTGGTGCTGATACAGAGGATGTTTATGAGAAAGGTCAAGAGTCTAAAGCAGTGGATACAAATAGAAGGGATCTAGGAAAGGAAACTTATAATGTTTCTACTGATTATGATAAGCCACCCTCAAGCTTTTCTTCTAACAATGCCTTTAATGCCATTGAGGAAAGTGGTGTGATTTCTTCTGCTTTGGAGAAGGAGCAGTTTGATGTGAGAAGTTCTGTGATTTCTACTGGTCAGAAGACATACTCGACAACCTATTCACATAATTCCGCTGATACGGAAGAAAAGGTTCAGAAAGTGTCTCCACCTCGGTGGAAAGCTTTCAGGGATGAAAAGCTGGGAACTGGTTCTAAAAGAGATGCTGCTAATTCTGATTTGCCAACGACCACAAGTTATAAACAGCAAATCACGAACAATTCTAACGCAGCTAGTATTGGCTCATTTCCTGGTTCAAGAAGAGATGGTGCTAGTTCTGATTTTCAAACCACAAGTCATAAACAGCAAATCTCGAACAATCCCAATGCAGTTAGTAGTGGCTCCAAACAGTCCGAACTCGAGCCTCCTGATGGGAGCATAAATGAGATACTCGAGGTTGATGTTGAACGTACAACTTCTCAATAACTTCAATCATCTGTTTCTGTTAAAATGGAAGTGTTTCATACTTGATTATTCATTGTACTTTTTGACTGTGAAGGAAGAAGAGGCCCTGATTGCAGCCCATAGAAAAGAAATTGAAGATACAATGGAGATAGTTCGTGAAGTAAGTGGAGAATCTTTCATTTTTGTCATTTTTCTACAATACTTCATTTCAGTACATCATAAAGGTTGCAACACTGATATATAGGACATGCTTTTCACACACGCTGCTGTAAAAGGGAGAGGGCATGATCAAAACGTATTAATATACCTGTAGGATTATCTCCAAGTTCACATAGGAAACACATCTACTGTGATCGATTATAATTGCTCTCTCTCTCCTGGGCTCTTCTGGGAGTAATCGTCACCAACTCCAATGGTCATCTGCATTCTATGGACAACCAGTTTTCATCGATGTGCTTCTACAACACATCCATCTTACTTAACTAAATAATAGCAAATAATAATAATAATAATAATAAGAACAACAACAACAAAACTTTGACTAACTGCAAAAGAATGAACTGTTCTGTTGAGCACAGTTAATGAGGTTTATTAAAATCTTTTTCTTTTGAATGCCAGGAAATGAAACTGTTAGCGGAAGTCGATCAACCGGGAAGCCATATTGACAATTACGTGACACAATTGAGCTTTGTGCTCTCACGCAAAGCAGCAAGTCTGGTCGGCCTTCAAGCTCGCCTAGCAAGGTTCCAGCATCGGCTGAAAGAACAGGAAATTTTGAGTCGAAGGAGGGTACCTCGTTAAGGCAATATTAAATGCCAGTTGTGTCACAATTCTAACTCCTGCCGTGTACTTTCCTTATTACTTTGGTTTTTTAATCACATACAGCTTAATTTTACTGGCAATACATGTAATACAAGTCGTCTGGCCAAGTTTGTACTTGTTCTGCAGTAGGAAAAAAGTAATAGATCTGGTGGAAAATATATTCTGAACTGGCACAACTTATACCATGCTGAAGTCACGAAGAAGAAAACTATGTTGTGGCTGAGGATGCAAGACGGGACTTTGGGTAGTTGTTGGCTAAATGATGCAAGGATTCATGTTTGTTGGTGAAAGTGTACTATGAAAAATATTTCAACTGAATTGAATCTTGATTTGTTCTTATCGAGTGTTGTTGGTAGGTTCGGTAGAATTCTGGCTGTTGGTTGCCTGAATGATTTGAAGAGGCTTTTACTTTAATAGCAAAATGAAAACATAAACACTTTCATTTTGTTATCATTGATGTACTACAAAATCTTTGCATTTCTTCAATTTCTATAATCTTTGATTCGACTTTAAATTCATCATTTGTTTGGTCTGAGTTCTTGTTTGTATTTGGAAGTGGATGAGGTCACTGCCTAGTCTCAGTTAGAACTGCACTGTTTAATAGATTGGACGAGTTTCAAGCTGGGAAATGGTTATATTAGCCAGCGGTGTGAATGGATACTCTAAGCGTCCAAAGTGTTTATAGAAGGTTGACTCGGACTTGAATAGGATATAGGACTGCTAATTCCTGTACCAGGAGGTCTTCGATTAATTCCTTGTCCCATGAACTGACATCAATGCTCTTTCCAGTCTTGTCCTCAACTTGTATCTAGCCTGCATTTGAATTCAAGAAATGGCATTTCAAGAGCCTTAAAACCTTGATTATTGAACTGGCATGACAAGTCGATCTAACTCTGGAAATGATTCTTTGAAGATTCGCATTTTGAGGAAAAATTTACAGGTTTTCTGATTTGCCTTGATGATCAAACAAATTCCGAGTGCATTAATTGATCTTATAGACCTGCTTCCCAAAATAGATTTCGGCTTTTGGACATACGAATTTGTTGAAGATAAGTAACAGTAAATGCAAACGAATCCGAGTAACATTGAAGACCAGAAATATAAATTCTGCTACTTGGGAGATTAAGATTCTAGATGAGGTGATTCAATAAAATCATTCATTGTGCATTGAAATAAGAGTGTTTCAACGAATCTATAATATATTAAATATCATATCAAGTGAGAATAATTTTTTAAACAATTTTAACCTTACTACAATTCAATTATTTTAATAATACATTGCTTTTCATTTTTTAATATGTAACAAAAACTGCAAACTCTCTGCCATGTATGAATTTCTTGCTATTAATTCTCAAATAATTAACATTCACATTAATCTAGACTCAATGAATCTTAATATACATGAATCTAGAATTATTATAAATGAATTTATTTCTATTCATATATCTAGAAATTTTAATGAGTGTTTACATTTATGTATTAACAACTAATTCTTACATACCAATGTAGTATAAAAAAATTGTTCATTTGTAATATTTCGTCATCACAAATGATTTGAATCATAAAAGTTAAGTTTTGAGAGTACAGTTTTCTTTTCTTAAATTTATATCCTAAATTTTATTTTCTTTCATTCGTTTGGAATCAAATATTACTTTTACAATACTTATAAACTAGGAAGAATGAAAGAAAAAAGGAAAAATGAAAGAAAAACGAGGAGGAAAGAAAAAACGAGCGTCGTGCTCTCCATTTCTAAGTTCATAGCCTTCGCGATAGCTTCATCGATATTACCTACCAAATAAAAAGCTTGTTCAGGAAGACCATCTAATTATCCGAAAGGATCCTAAAACCCTGCTGTAACGACACCTGTGCCATCTCAAATTTCTCTGGAAGGTAGCCATTCTCTCCTTGTACTTTGCTTCAGGGAATTAGGGAAATGAGACATAAATCTTCCAACAGCTCACTCTGGCGATAAATCTTCCATCTTCAGAGAAATGCTGCTCATTGTCATTTATTCCTTCCATTGGACATGTTCAAAATTCATTTAACCAGGGTCCGCAAAGCCATCTCAGCATCGCCTAGTGGTTGCCCTGCATAAAGTTGAAGTTGTCCTTTCTTCACGACAACTAACCTCACCGTACGTGATTTCACGGCTTCATTCAAATCCTGGAAACATAAATTTTTTCATTGTCATTATAACCACCAAAAGAGGGAAAAAAATAAAAAAATTCAATAATGTTTCCACGTGAAATACAGTATGCATGATCATGGACGAGAATAGTTTTTAATCCTTTCTAAAATGGTCCCAGTTGAACATAAACCGACTCACTACATAGTAGCAATTTTATGGAAAACGAACTGATTATTATAGTGTAATTAGGTTTTTGGTTCTTACTGCAACTTTTAGAGGAACAATCTCGGCACCAAAGTTTTTGAGATCGTCAAAGTAAGATTGGAGAAGATAACAGAAATTGTTAGCATCACCACGATCCTCAAAAGCTACAGTATGAGATAAGTCAACCCCTGCATTAGAAGTGCTCTTCAAGGTGTAAAGTCCATGTCTTCCCTCATCATCATGGCCACTATGCATGAGAATGCCCTGAATTGAACACACAGAACATTATTCCTTGGTAAAAGTTTTCACTAAATTAATTTTGTAGTCAATTACAGTGCATTGAATTTTAAACATTATTTTGAGAATCAAATAGCATCTGCAGGGATGAACATTTGTAGCATGTTCCGCATGGAGGATCAGATAACATTGGAAAGTGCTTAGAAAAAGAAGCTCAGTATAATGTCTTGTCCTATCCAATTCTGCATAAAAATGGAGAACTTAAAAGTTTTATTTGCTTACTGATACAAGAGAAAGCAAGAAAATGATTAAAATATCGTTTAACCATTTCCAGATCCTACCTACCAAAGTCAACCCACAGTATTATTATATACCAAATTAGTACTAAGTCCCAAATTGAATGTATTTAAAACTCAATAACTTCTACTTTCTCGAATGAGTTCTTGAACGGGAGTTTGTTTAAGGTTTATTAGTATGGATAAAACACAAATATATGTAATATTATTAGTCCAAGTAATAAATACTACCAGTATTCTTTTTTTTGCCATCGCATATTTGACTGATTTACCACTATAAACCAAGGAACTTCTCTCTTTATCATCTGTCCTATATTAATTCATTATTCAAAAAGGATATTAGACTATTTTTTACGAACTTGATTTACTAAAATACCTATTAAATTTTATGGACCTTGTTTAACGACACAAAATCCAAAATCAAGAATGAAAATAATGTACAAGTGTATAACTTAGATGATACATATGTGTATTCTTTTACATTACAAGGACAGAAATATATGTAAAAGAAAAGCAAAAAAGCTTTATTTGTGCATTAAGTCATAAAAAGCACTTAGGGATTAAAAGACATGGAACCTTAAAACTAATAGCTTTATTTGAGCCTAGGCTTCAATCTTTCAACTCTAGGAAATACCTACTTATCATATAAAAGCAAGTATAAGTAAATTAGGCAACAATAATCCAAATCGTAGAAAGACAGAAAAATCAATGATGAACAAGATATAAGAAACATGATAATTACTGGATCTATTTACATACTAGAACATATGGGAGATTCAACCACCAGAAATCAGTCTCACTTTCAGATTTGGTATCCTCCATGTTGTTTGCCCCATTAGTGTTTCCAACTTCTTTCCCTTTTAAGCTATAATTTCCATTTAACAGCTTATTGGATGGTGCAGATTCTGCTTCTAATTTTCTTGACTCAATGGATTCAACTGTAGGGATCTCGTGACTTTTGTCCTGCACAATGACTGTAGAAGTAATAAGCTACTCATAACTCTACAGCAGCAATTAGCATGCAATTTTTATTTTTTTCATTTAACAAGAAATACACCTAGCATGATGCACCGGATTTGAAAGCTTGAAAGGGCACAAATGCATTGCAATCTCAGCGTTAATTGTTTTTCAACACATTTCCATAGGAGTATTAAGGAAGAAAAACAAGATAAAATCTTGTCCATTGTATCGTCTATTATTGCGTATCAAACATGCACTAATGGTTTGGGACTGATAGTAAGAATGATAATACCATCAGCCAAATATTCTCCCACTAGTGGTTGGAAAGTAATTTATGGCAATTTCTCATTGATCTTATAGATATCCTCTAAAATAGTATTGATGTGTACGCGTCTAATACGGAAAGGAAATGCATTAAATTATGCAGGCATTGAACTGTTTAAACATCTCAACTTTGTCATAGTTAATAATTAGCTAATAGATCGATGTGAAAAAGGTCAATAAGAAACACTACCATTTTTCACTTTTGGTTTAGCAACACCCTTCTTTCCTTGTTTCCTCGTCCCCTTTTCTTTCACTGACTTCTTCGTCATACTGTTCGAGGACACGGTGACATCTGATGTCCCTTTCTTTCCAACATCTTCCTCCAAATGCATCAAATCACTTCCTTTTGAATCCCCTTTGTCATTGTTATCATTCCCATTTCTCAACAAGTCACTCCCCTTCTCCATGTTTCCTTTTTGCTCGAACTTATTAATACTTTCATACTCCGGATTTGTAAAACCTTTTGGTTTTTCATCCAAAATGTTCGCCAAGCCTTTAAATTTATACTTCTTCTTAAACATCAACGCTCCATTCCCTTCTTTCTCGTGTAATTTATCCTTCTCAACCCCATTTTTTCTCTCATCTGCTGTCCTCAAAATGCCAACAGATGACACTGGCAACTTCTTGTGAGACTTCTCTAAATTTTTTTGCAACTTGATTAATCTGTTATCGACCTCTTTTTCAATCCCACTCTTCATAAATTTTCCATCATCAATGTAATCTTTTTCCTTACTGTCAAAACCATTGTTTTTCAGTTCTCGTTTTTCCCTAGCTCTTGCCTCCCTCGCCATTGTTTGAATCTCCTTGATTTTTCTCTCTATTTCCACCTCATCTACATCCACGACTGAATTAACACCACCATTTTCAAAACCCACTGTACCATTCCCATCCAGAAAAAGCTTCACTTTTGATATATTTTTCCCATTTTCGTCCAATCCCGAATACCCATCTTCATCATTTTCTTTGCTATCAAATATCCAAGCAGCACAGACAGTATGAAACACAAAAGCTCCAACTAACCATAACCCAAAATTCAACAATGTACTTTTATGAAACCTACCAACATTTCCGTCAACGATCACCACAGAACTGCCCGAAACTTCAGACTCTATTAGTTCTTGATTTCCGAACTTATCAAGTTCTTGAATTTCTGTTTTGTCAGATTCTACCCATTCCTGATTCTCAAACTTATCAAATTGTTGAATTTTTCTTTCTTCGGGCTCTTTGACATCTTCTCGGCGAGTTGGAAAATCGATCGAAATTACGGGGTCAGTCGAGGGAAGCTTAGGAATAAAGGGCTTCTTTAGGGTTTTGAGGATTTTTCGGCGGAGATAGTTTTTTCTTTTGATGGGTTTTGTAGGAAATGGAGCGGCGATAGACGAAACTACAAAAAATGGTCTTCTGAGGATGCGATTAGCAGTAGAAAAACGATGGTGGCGGTGGAGATGAACAGTAACAGATGAGTAATGGGCGCCCGCCATTACTACGGAAGGAAGCTTTATGCTCCCATTCTTGATTGTTCACAGGTCAAATAGCCTGTCAAATTTGAAAAACGGAAGGTAGCTTTACCTCTATTTTTCTGAAGATAATGTTTTTAGCTCAAGCACATCATTATTTTTTCCCCATTATTACGAGAGAACAAATCATTGAACGGTTTAAAAAAAATTAATTTTTTCTTCATTCCCTTTTTAACAACACATCAAATATCAAAGTTTACATCTAACATTTTTGAAGAATGTACATCGATAGTAGAAACAAAACTCATATTGGAACCTACACCGTTCTTTCATTATTTGTAGACGGGACGCATAATAATATTGTGTTCGAATTTTGAATCATGATATGACGAAAAAGATGGTTCAGATTCGAAACATTTTTTCTCCGTTTGCCGTGTTTATTGCAAAGTTGGAAAAATAAATTTACTCAAATCAAATTACTAAAATGTAATCGGATAGATTGGATTGAATTACATCATCCTTTCTTTCAACTGGACTAATAGTTACATTATTATCAAGTTGATATGAGATAGCCTAAACTCACAATATTAATCAAAGTATTAGAATTTTCCCTAGTAATTGATGTTTGGTTAAGCATAATATCGATTAAAAACAAATTTATTTATGTAGGCTCTATTTGGGCCCTATTTTAGGAGAATAAATTTTGTAATGGTGATTTTTTGGAAAATTTTCGTTTAAAAAATAAGAAAAAAATTTGAATTTATGTACAAAATTTTATTGAGAGAACGTGTGATTGAAAATGAGTTTGAAAAAAACAATTTTTTAGATAACGAGGCTTAAACATAGGCTTATAAGTGAACTATTTTGAGCTTAGCCAAACACGCTCCATTTTACTGGCTTTTTAATTTTTTCCAGACAAAATATCTGGTTAACAAAAAAATTCTCGTACTATATAATATGAGATTTCGATAATACGACGATTTCGACGAAATTCGCTCAACACGACTCTAAGTTTGGATGCCGATATAAATACGCGATTTCAGTTCGAAAATGGGGACTGAAATGCTGGACAAAGCTACCGTCTCATTTTATCCACAAACATATTATTTTCTTGATTTCCTTCAATTTTCTTCAATGAAAATTCGGATAAACTCCCACAGATAGAAATCAATGGGGACTTCCCATCCTCTTCACTAAATTCTTAACTCCCACAAATCCTTTTGTTCACTCTCCCTGGATCCAAAATGGCTATGCAAACTTCCTCTTGCAGGGTAATTTTAGTATATTGTTTGCATAAATAGTGTATTCAATCTTGTATCTGTACATCTTACATGCATTTTTGTCAACCCATTTTTTTATGGGCTTTCGTAACGTCTTATATGTAATGTTATTTTATATAATGAGGTGAAATATATATGTATTTTTTTGGTTGATGGCAACTTTTCTTGACTAGCAAGTAGTAGTAGTAGAATTCATAACTATGAAGTTTCTTGAGATATCAATACTTGAGTATACACGCACGCACATATAATGGGCCGTGAGAGACAAAGTTCGGTCTTTGCTTCTATGATAATTGTGGGATGCCAACTGCTTGATGAATTGTCTCTCCCGGCTTATGTTGGGAAACAAGGATTAATTTGGGAGAAAAAAGGGCCTTGTTTGGAAGCTAATATAGAGTCTAATTTTCTCAGGCTCTTTCGATGAGAAATTGCTCATCGTTTAGGAGACAAACATCTTTCCAGGCATTAAATTCCAGAAGAAGCTCGTCTGCAGAAGTCTTTTCTCTCTTAAACGTGGCATACTGTTATACTTACTCCAGTAAAGAATCTTCTCTATCCTCAAAGCAAAGATCACGTGAGCCTGTTATGGCTGCGAAGGGTTCATCTGAAGGTTGCAAAGAATCTGAAACTTAAAATATTTTGGTTTCCACTTTGTTTTGCTCACAGTAACTCCCTTTTTGTTCATGAACAAAGTGTGTTTCTATAAGTGATTGACATGCAAGATTTTGTCCAGGGAAAAAGCAGGAAGATGGTAAGTATAAGCACACCGTTGATCTTCCGAAGACAGCTTTTGGCTTGAGAGCAAATTCTGTCATAAGGGAACCAGAAATTCAGAAGTTATGGGATGAAAATCAGATTTTCAAAAGGGTTGTGGATGGTAATAATGGGGTGAGTTCTGGTATTGGCTTAGATCCTTGATCTTGCCTTATGTTTGTTTCTACCTGTAGTAAGTGATTTTATGCTTATGTTTAAACATCTTGACAGGGAAGTTTTGTCCTTCATGATGGTCCTCCTTATGCCAATGGCAACTTACATATGGGGCATGCTTTGAATAAGATTTTGAAGGACATAATCAATCGATATAAGGTAAAACTACCTATTGGCCTGCAGTTTCAAGAACTAACTTCTTATATTGATTTTAATCACTTGAATAGATTTTTGTGTACCATTTGGATTAAGTGCAGAGGAAATTTTAATTGAATTGTTTACGTGAAATATAAATACCAGTAACTTCTATACCTAAGATTGATTAAAAATTATTAACTTTTATTTCATTGGCGTTCTTTGATTAGTTTCACCGTTATTACTACGAGCAAGGAAGAGAATAATTTATTTAAGACATTAATGTTGTCTACTTCTGTTACAATGCACTTCCTTTCTCATACACGTGTGTGCTACCCAAATGTTTTCACACGTACATTTGATGTTTTCTTGAATTGTTCCTTGTTTTCGTTACAGCTTCTTCAAAACTATCAAGTTCATTATGTGCCTGGTTGGGATTGTCATGGCTTACCAATTGAGTTGAAAGGCAAGTTTTGACATCTAACCTACTTTAGTTGCTAGTATTTTTCTAGTTCAATTGGTATTATGTTGATTGGTTGATTATGCTTCACAAATCCTAACATTGAAAATTGTCCATTCACATATGGGATATAATGACCAAAATTGAGCATTTAAAGAAGTGCTTGTAAAGAATGGCATATCACATTCTTACTAGAGATATTCACAGAATCCATGGCCATGCCTACGTTTCTCGAAATGCGTGTAAACATTGCCATGATTACAAGCATGAGCACATAATTAGAGTCTCGGTAATAGTGCCATGCTATCTTCATGGATGTTTTCTCTCGGTTGAGTTAGTGTTAACATAGATTAGGGATGCAAATGAGTTAACATGGAGTCTCTCTTAGATTGAACTTGGCCCAATTGAGTAACTAAGGTCTAAGGATTCAAATTTTGCTGAACAATTTCAGTTTTGCAATCACTGGATCAAGATGCCAGAAAGGAGCTGACACCACTAAAATTGAGAGCAAAAGCAGCAAAATTTGCCAAGGCAACTGTGAAGGCGCAGATGGCAGCATTTAAGGTTGTAATTTAGTATTTGTACAGTGTTGTAATCTATGGGATATTAATATTAATAGTTCCCGATATGAGAGAAGCGTGCTATTCAATTACAAGTGAGTGCTAGGTTTTACTAGAGAATCCTTGAAATGCTTAGAATATATTTGAATGGTGACAGCGTTATGGAGTATGGGCTGACTGGGAGCATCCTTATCTAACTCTAGATCCAGAATACGAAGCTGCTCAGGTAGGTGGTATTCTGATTAACAGAATCTCTCTTAAACTGATTTTTTTATTTTTGGGGCATATATTTTGTTTATGCACTCCTTTTATGCTTGGTTAATTTACACCAATATGTTTAAAAATTCATCTATTCTCGTATTTTTGTTTCAAACCACCCATACACGGTTACACTCTGCATACTTCACTACTAATAGGTGGAAAGGCTCATCTTTGTTACAGAATAAACATACTATTCCCAAGTAATCTCACAACTTTTTTTATCACCCTGTCAACATATCCTCTAGTAGATTGAAGTGTTTGGCCAGATGGCATTACAAGGATATATTTACAGAGGCAGAAAACCAGTTCACTGGAGTCCTTCATCACGAACAGCTCTTGCAGAAGCTGAACTGGAGGTAAGTGAGCCTTCTAATCTTGCGGTATTTCCCCCCAGGAACTATTCCAGTGCATATGATAATGCTCTTGCATATGATAATGCTCTTGTATATGATAACAGGTCAGAATGCTCTGGCAACAGTGAATTAGTAGTATTGCAAGTTAAAGCTATAAACATTTATTTTTCTTCTTGTCATTTCTTTGACATTTATATGCAGTATCCGGAGGGGCATGTTTCAAAGAGCGTATATGCAGTTTTCAAATTAGTCTCTGTCCCTACTTCGTGTGAAATGCTAGAGGATTACTTTCCCAATTTGGGCATTGCTATTTGGACTACAACTCCTTGGACCATTCCTGCCAATGCCGGTAAGCTTTTCATCGTTTATTGTAATTTTTGTTGTAGTAGAACTATTGAATTCCAAGATTTGGTTAGTCATTTTCAACTTATGTTGATCGCCAATTTAAAAGAATATTTGTGACGATGATGATAATATGTGTGGTTTTTTTTTTTTTCCTTTTTTCAATCTGAATGATTAGTTCTCTATGTAAAAAGTATAGCACACGTTGAAATGCTCTTACTTTTTATGGTGAAAGTGTTATATATGGGATCATTTTTTTGAGTTATTTTGTTTAAAAAAATAGATAGAAATCATTATAAGATAGTAATTAACGTTATATCACACTAGCAATTGGCGGTCTTTGTTTATTGGAACCTGCTTTTGTTTATTTTTCTTTATCATGGAAGTGAGTGGTTCTAGGATGGAAGAGGGGTGATGGTGGCCTGAAAGTGTTACAGCTGCTGTTGTGGTAGGGAGGGGGAGGACGGAAACTAAGAGAGGCTTCAGAGAGGCAATGGGTTTACAAGGATTTCGTGGTGGCGGGAAAGTGGTAGATGTTCTTCCTTTCGAAAAGTAATGATTGATATTTGAGAGGTTGACAATTAGGTCTTTTGGTTGAGAATGTAATGGAAAGAAACTCTGTTGAATAATATATAACATTCTATTTTTGGTTGAAGCTGTGTATGTATATGTTGTCCACTCCTTTTTTTGCTCACATTCCACTTCTTTAGAATTGTGATGTCCCGTGGGAGTTGCATATGTAAAACATGATATTTTACTTGCTTGATCAATTGTTCCAAAGTTTCATGCTTAAGTACATAAATTCTACAAACACGCACGCACGCATGCACCATATCTCTTCATTTTAGAAAATCATGGGTTGCGCCAAAAAATGTACATTCTGTTCATCATGTAGTTGTAGAATTTTGTTATGGCCTACCATCCTGCATGCATAGTTCACCGTACGCATCCATCTTGCTGTCGCTGTCATTATATATATTTGTTTCTCTATTTATCAATGCTTATTATGTGCAATGATTTTCTTTTTCCTTTTTATCTTCAGCTGTTGCAGTGAACTCAAAGCTTCAATATGCTGTGGTTGAAGTGCATTCAGATTCTGTAGATGTTTCTACATCTACTGTAGATGGAAAGAAAAAACTTGGCAATGTCTTGAACCAGAATGAGAAGATATTGCTGATTGTAGCTTTGGACCTTGTACCAGCCCTAGAAGCAAAATGGGGAAAGAAGCTTGTCATGAAAAAGACACTTATGGGCTCGCAGCTTGAAAATTGCAGGTCATGTTTAGCAATATTAATTTGATTTATATTATCTAGTTTTGCTCTGATGTCTTGTGTAATTTCCCCATTTGTGTGGCTTCTGAAATTGGAATGCACTACCTGGGTGTCTAGACAGTGACATACCCTTCGAAAGAGGCATACGTTTCCACCCCGCTAACCTCCTTTCCACTTTCTCCACAATAGCATTCCAACTCTTGCCTAAATTGAATGAACCTCCTATGCATCTCTCGGATTAAGTAAAACATTTGATTGCTTTGTTATCCATTATCAAACAGAAAGTTCACATCTCTAACAAGTAGTTTTCAACCACTATTTCAGGTATGTTCACCCAATGGATAATAGAAAATGCCCTGTTGTCATTGGTGGAGATTACATTACAACAGAGTCAGGAACTGGACTAGTTCATACTGCACCAGGTCATGGTCAGGAGGATTATGTAACTGGCCTTAAATATGGTTTGCCCATACTTTCCCCTGTGGATGATGATGGAAAGTTTACTGAAGAATCTGGGCGGTTCAGTGGGCTTGATGTGCTTGGTGATGGTAATGTTGCTGTTATAGAGTACTTGGACGAGAACTCATCAATGATCATGGTTGAGCCATACAGTAAGTTTGACCATGAATGGCACTATCTATTCGCTTTCTGTGATGTCATGGAGAAAAAATTATAGACGTGCTGGTCAATAACTCATTTCTTTTATGCAGAACACAAGTATCCATATGATTGGCGAACAAAGAAGCCTACAATTTTTAGGGCAACTGAACAGTGGTTCGCTTCAGTGGAAGGGTTTCGTGAAGCCGCGATGGATGCAATTAACCAAGTAACATGGATTCCGTCACAAGTAATCATCCTCTGACTAATAAATTTCTCGTAGAAGGATCATTTTGGGGGTTTTGGGGGCAGGGACCATCCCCAAATGTTTATATAATTCACATTCTCCTTGGAAAAAGTTTGCTTCTATCCCTGATACATCTGCCTTCCTAACCTTTTTTCCTAAAACTCTATTGAAGTCCATGCTGAGTATGTACCAACTTCTACACACAAGCTTCAATCCTGGATCCACTCCTCCTTAGATGATAGGATCCATCACCATTTACCCCGGTGATGCTTTCTATTTGTTTCTCTGTTGAGAGTCAAAGGTCTAACAAACTGGATTGCCGTTTCATGTGTTCCCCAATTGCAATATGTCCTCATTAACCAATTACTATTATACATTATCTAATTGCACTATGGTAAAAATGCATGATTCAACAGGCAGAAAACCGAATTTCGTCAATGACTTCCAGTCGCTCTGATTGGTGTATATCCCGGCAAAGGACTTGGGGTGTGCCAATACCAGTCTTTTATCATGTGAAATCCAAGGAGCCTTTGATGAATGGAGAGACTATCGATCATATTAAGTGTAAGGACCTGCTACCATATCCTGTTTTCTACTTTCCCACTCCATGGTAGGTTAGTCTATATAATTTTACCGAAGGTCATATTATGTGATATGTTTGGGCATTGCATTTATGACTTCTTGATGAAAGTTTATCCAATTTAATTTTTTGGGTATCTTGTTTCTTTTGCAGCTATAATTTCCCAGAAAGGTAGTGATGCATGGTGGTATATGAAGGTAGAGGATCTACTTCCTGAAAAATATCGCAATGAAGCATCAAAATATGAAAAAGGGACTGACACAATGGATGTTTGGTTTGACTCAGGTATCATAAGCCACTAGCATTTAAGGTTTCCTTATTTTATTTTGCTTTACTGGTGAACAGTAGTACTTATTTTATCCATGACTCAGATGCAACCTCTTGATGTACTAATTTTTCCAGTATTTTGTCTTTGTATTGCTTATTATTTGTAATACAAAGTAATATGATTACTTTCATCCATGATCTTCAAAATATAATCAAAAGTTACAATATGGTTCTATTTGAACAAGGAAATAATCTCTGTTCATCATAGACTTTCACTTGCAATTTTCACTGTTCTATATACTTTCTTCATATAAACTCTCTTATTCTCCTCATAAAAAGAAAGGAAAAATAGAAAATGGTAAGAAGAAAGAATATTCAATGATCTACCTGTTAAGGTGAAACATATTTCACTATGACTATAGACAGAATGACTCTAGAGAAGAATGCACCAAGAGGTTGCCCCAAGGGACTGTGGATGTTTTACTACCATTGTTCTTATGTTGAAATCTGCAGTGTGCATTAAGGGGTTGCAGAAATTGAGCATTTGAATTTCGATCTATCTCAGGCTCTTCTTGGGCTGCTGTACTGGGGACAAGAAGCAGCCTTAGTTATCCGGCAGATCTATATCTTGAGGGTACAGATCAGCATCGTGGTTGGTTCCAGAGTTCATTATTAACAAGTATTGCTACGAACGGTAAGCAGTACCCAGTTTCATATGTGTGTGAAGATTATATTACTAGTTACTCTCTTTTCCTTTTTTCTGTTTTCCACTTTATCGAATTTGCTGCTCAAGCATCAATTATGAAAGGTACAAGGAGAGGTTAATGCAACTATCTGTCTATAAAAATCGTATTCTAGAGTGTAATCTGCATAATTACTTATTGTAAAGGAAGAAGTCCTGATGAAAATTTCAAATACATAGAGGTGAAGAACTGTTGCCTGAGAGCCTCCAAGAAATTCAAATATATATAGCTGAAGAACTTTCTTCATCTATTTTGTCCCTAGAAGTTCCTGTTTTTAGTCCGTAGTTGTAATAAAATATATTCACTTGCTTGGTAATTTGTTATGATGTGTCAAAGTAAGAGCATGTTTGCCAAGCATAACAAAACAAAAATTACTTGGTAGCAGCATGTATAAGAGCCGAAATAGGAATCCGTGGAATCGCAAAAACTATCAAAATCTAAGTAAGTTTTTTTTGCCAAACATGTCTGAGCTTTTTTAAAAGTGACCTCTTTTCGTTTTTGGGTGGGGGGTCACACCTTATTGTTTTCATTATCATGGACCAAGCACTTGATTTTATATTATTATCTTTTTGTGGAGAATAAGATAGATGTTCTATTATATGCTAATGTTGCAGGAAAGGCCCCATATCATGGTGTCATAACACACGGGTTTGTACTTGACGAGAAGGGTTTTAAGATGAGCAAATCTTTGGGAAATGTTGTTGACCCAAGTACTTTGATCGAGGGAGGGAAAAATTCGAAGGTAAGTCACTAGTCATCAACAACATGCTGGTACATCTTACTGTCTCTTGAATGATGAATTGTGTTTCATTGTATTTAACAGGATCTTGCCTTTGGTGCGGATGTCCTTAGGCTCTGGGTTTCCAGTGTAGATTATACTGGTGATGTGATGATTGGAACTCAAGTACTTCGTCAAATGTCTGACATATACCGGAAATTGCGAGGAACGTTGCGATTTCTTTTGGGAAATCTACACGATTGGAAAGTATGTCATGCTTCTGATGCTTGTCTATTGGGTTGAGGGCTTCCACTGTAGAAGAGCTTTTCGCATATACCTAGAATCACTTACCGTCTAGCTTAATTCAATCCTTGCTGCTTTTATATTTGTGCCAATTAAATATTTATATCCCAGGAACGAACATAATATTGTCTCACCTGTTGCTCAATTTTTTAATCGTTATTCTCATTGGTCAATATTTAATCGTTATTCTCATTGGTCAAATCAGAGGTGAAATTTTTCTTGAACTTTTGTGCTTCCCCTAATTTTATCTTTTCAATTTTTCAGGATGATTATGCCGTTCCTTATGGCGATCTTCCAGTGATTGATCAATATGCATTGTTTCAGCTGGAAAATGTGGTGAAGAACATTAAAGGGAGCTATGATAGTTACCAGTTCTTCAAAATATTTCAGGTACAATTTCCCCAAACTTCTTGATATACGTACGATCCTTTAATGCTTTATTAGAAGGATTTTTGATGAATACATCATAGAAAATTGGTAGCAAGAATATAGTGGATAAGATAATGAACAGTAATTTAAATTGACAGGGCAAGGTTACTTAACACGATAACCTACCAAGCACACATGATATGATACAATACATGTACGCCGGTAGAGATTATTATTATTATTATTAAAACAAAAAGAATATGTGGATACATGCATAAAATATGTAATGGAGTTTGATTATTTTAGTGTATAAATTATTAACACAGTTTTACATATATTTAAAGTTTTAATACCATTATCTATTTTCATTAATAAAATTATAGTTGTCGATTATTAACACAATTCTACACATTTAAATTTTTTTAACACTATTGTCTATTTTCAATAATAAAACTATAGTTGTCAACTATTAATACAGTTTACATGTATTAAAATATTTAATACTATTGTTTATTTTCAATAATAAAACTTTAGTTGTCAATTAACTTACAACTCTACTCGTCAATTATTTAATACTAAATCTATTTGAAATAATAAGTGTAAACTGTATCGTTATAAAACATATTTATTTTATTTGAAATTGTTAATTAATAAATATGATCTAATTTCAATAAGTTATTAATAATAACAATAGTTATCTACTACGTAAAAAACTTTGTATCTATTGGCAATGATAATGAGTTCTAAAACGAGTTTAAAACCAATAACTCTTCTTTTTCATGTATCGTATCAGAAATTTAAAAACTATAATATCATTAAAAAACAAGGTATCATGTACGTATTAGAGCGTGTTCGAGCATATCCAAGCTGGGATATGTATCCATACGCACAGGGACCGACCTAGCGTTGGAGTTCAGCCTGGGCGGACGTTGACCGGTCAACGTCGAATTCCGAGAACCACAACTGTGCAGCCTTGTCAACAGCTTTACCCGTCGTAACGTGACACCTCCCGCACAATTTAGACTTATCTAACAGCGTTGTTTAGACTAACAAAGTGTTACCATTTATATTGAAATCCATCACCTAAATCTCAGTTCTTTAAAACATCCAGCAACCAACAAATACAATAACACAATATAGCATATAATCACCAATGTTCCATAACTAATTCTTTTTCTTCCAACGCATATGTCTGACGGGAAGGTATTGCATTAATCAAAAGGTTTGTTACACTTAAGAAATCAAAAAAGAAAAACTTCATTTGTCAAATTCTTAACAGAAAAGGCAAAACACATAATGTGAAAGTAACTCAGCGGAGATAACCTGGGATCTTAATCCGAACAGTGGGCATCTAAATTAAAAAGTTGTACTTAACACGTCAATCTGTTTCAAGGTCCAGCGCTAATAGATTATAGAAGTTGCTTAGTTTCTTCATAGCAAAGGAAAAGGGCAGAGTTTTCTTCTTCACAATCACAGTGTGCAGGTCTACTCTGATCAATTTATAAAAATTTGAAAGCTTTAAAAATTCAGAATAAATTGTTCCCATCTTCCTCTCTGGTTCTGAGATACTTGAACTAATTTAAAGCATTAACAGACAAACGTTTAGCTTATTTTTCTTATTAACAGACTGATTTGGCAACAGGCAATAGCACAAGCCACAAGATGTCACAATTAATTTTTCTAGCTCAATTAATTGGCAACAGGCAACAACACAAGACTTAGACAACAAATTTACTGATAGAAATTTCCAATTTGCAGAATCAGACACTTAAAAAATGACACCTAAATGTCGAAAAACAACTTATAGTTTCAAACTCACCAAAACTCGCGACGGACGGATACGGTAGCAGCCTGATGGCGGGCTGGCCGAACTGGTGGTGGTGCGGCGGCACGGCAGCGAGGGACGGGCAATTGGGATTTGGGCGAGAGTCGAATTGGATAATTGGTGAAGATGAAGGTCTTCAATTTGGGGATGAATTTCAATTTAAAGGGCCATTGGGCTTTTGTATAGTATATAATTTTGGATTGGGCCCAAAACAAATGGCCCAATTAAAAAAAAAAAAGATTTATGGGATGGCCAGCTGGCCAAATTGGCTCAATTTCACCAGAACCAAAAAAAAAAAAAAAGCAGAAGAAGATACAAACGGAGAAGACGATCCAGCACCAGCAGGAACCACCGAACCAGGGCCCCCTGGCCGGGTGCTGGGTCCGTCCCTGCATACGCAATAATCAAGAAAATTACATGTATCCGTGCTTCTTAGGCAATAACTAATGCATAGGGAAGACCTTATTAGCATTAACTCTAGTTGCTATGAAAGTTACTTTAAATTTATAATAAAGAGTATATGGTCGAAGGGATTCTTATGACCAGCGAACCTATAGATTGGATAAGACTTGTTAATTAGAGTTGAAATGCATACAGTTTTATCTTTTAGAATATTTTGCCAATTATTCTTGTTTTGGTGCTAATATTGAATATGATCTTTTAGACTGTTTAATCCTTCGGTAGTCATAATGTGCTATGAATCACTAACATTTTCCTTTTTCTTTTCACCCATACAGATCATTCAACGGTTTGTGATTGTTGATCTCTCAAATTTTTACTTGGATGTTGCCAAGGACCGGCTTTATGTTGGGTAAGCTCCTAGCCATTGTCAAGAGCTTGTGCCAATTCCTATTTATGTGTTATTTGCTTATTTTCTCAAACAATACAAAATACAAGCCTTTGTGCACAAGATTACCACACGTGTAACAAGTTCAGATTGTCATTCTTTTGCTTGTCGAGACTTAATCTTTAGTACGATACAGTATCCCTCCAAGATTAATTTGCTCAAGTACCGTTCCTGAATTTCCATCGTGAATTATATTAATTGAACATTTATATAAATTCTCTGATGCCAATTCAAATATAATCATATATTTTCCTTCCTATTCTGTAATTAACAGGGGTACCTTTAGTTCTACAAGGAGGAGCTGTCAAACAGTACTTGCTGTACATTTACTTTCCATTGTCAGGGTCATTGCTCCAATTTTGCCGCATTTGGCAGAGGATGTGTGGCAGCATCTTCCTTTTCAGTTCACCATTGAAGATGGCCGTCTTGCGAACTTCGTCTTTGAGTCAAAATGGCCCATGTTAAATGAAAGACACCTTGCTTTCCCGGAAGAAGAAGTCGATTTTTGGGAGAAGATTCTCGAGGTAATAATTAAGGTTTTCTGCATCACATCCCATGTAGGTTGTATGTGAATGAATTGAGTTGTTTATGATAGTTGAACCGTTGTACATTAATCCGACATTTTCCCCATCTCTTTTGAACTGCCACTTCTCCCCTAATACGTTACTTTGGCCAGCTGAGAACGGAAGTGAACAAAGTGCTTGAGGTCGCACGTGGTAAGAAGTTGATTGGTTCCAGCTTAGAAGCAAAGGTCTATCTCCATGCATTTGACAATGGTCTGGCCACAAGACTGGTCGACATGTGTGCGCCCGAGAATGATGCTGATACATTGCATCGCATATTTATAACATCTCAGGTATGCTGAATTCAACATTATGCAAATAGTTTACGTTTGACAAGACAATGAACAAGATTTTATAGCTTGGGCCATGGTGAATTATGAAAACTTTCTCACCCATTTATATAAATCTGCAGGTAGAGATTCTTCCGTCACTCAAAAATGTACGGGATGAAGATATTCCGTGCACCGGAGAATATCTCATTCAAGGAAAAAACAAATTATGGATCGGGGTGTCACGTGCAACAGGCTCGAAATGTGAAAGATGCTGGAATTTTTCATCTCAAGTCGGCACTTTTGACGACCACCCCTCCCTCTGTGGCCGTTGTTACAACGTTGTTGGCCAGCCAATGCCAGCTATGGCAGCAGTTTAGTTGAGATTTCGTTATGTTATACAAGATGTACCATATTTATTGCACTGCTTCATAATGAAGATAATTTTTGATGGCATATTGAATAAATTTTGGGCTTTAAATTTATTTAAAATAAGACAATTTATCTTTATTGTGTGGTGGGAAAAGAAAATTTTGTGTAATTTTTTTGAAGTTTCTTTATCTATTTTATCTAGAATAAAATATGGGAACAATACATAACTACAAATTTAAGAACTTAAGTTTAAAATTTCAAATTTAAGATATTTTTAAATTGATTAATTAAACATATATTTTATTAATTAAATATATTAAGGTCACAGTTCTATATAGAGTCTGTTTGGTAGAGATTTTTGGGGGAAGAATTGATTTTTGAATAGTGATATGATGGGAAATGTGTGGTTGAAAAAGAAGAAAAAATTATTGATGTGATAGAAAATGTTATTTTATTGAAAAATGTGTGGTTGAAAATGAAAATTGATTTATTGTGTAAAATCAAAATCCATACCAAACATGCCCATAATTTGGTCGCAAATTCTATATAATTGGTCACATATTATTAATTTGTCACAAATCACAAATTTTACATGTCACAAATGATTTTACAGTTAGGATTCAGAAAATTTGTAGGTCACAATTTGTTCATCGGTCACAAATAAAATTTTTTATAAGTCACAAATTATTGTACGGTCACAAATCAGAAATTTTATAGGTAACAATTCATAAATTTTATAAGTCACAATTTGTTCATCATCACAAATAAAAAAAATTATATGTCACAACTTATTCATCGGTCACAAATTACAAATATTATAAGTCACGACTTAATAGACAATCACAAATTGTCAAATTATCGGTCACAAATTAACAATTTTTAGGTCACATATTATTTTTGGTCACAATTTATATTTTTCATTGGTCACATATTGTTTATTGATCCAAAATTAGCCCTTGTTTGGCTCCCATTATTTGGTATTTTTTATAGTTGAAAATTTTTGGAATAGTGATTGATGGGAGAATGTGGTGGAAAAATAATGAAAAGTTTTAGATTTGTGTATAATATTATTTTATTTGATGAATGTGTGGTTGTAATGAAGAGAGAGAAAAATTTAATATAATGTAATTTAATTTAATGGGGGTCAAACAGGGACTAAATTCTCAACGTTGCTTCCAACTTTTATTGGTGTTAATATATGTGTAACAATCCAAGTCTCTCTACTTGGGGGTCAAACAGGGGCTTAATGAATTTAATGGTCACAAACGACCAAATAATCTATGACCACAACCAACTTGTGACCATTATCCTCGTCGCCGCCAACAACAACTATCTCCACCACCACCACCAACGCCATCGCCACAACCACCGTCATCATCGCCATAGCCATCATCACTGTCATCGCCACCAACAACCTCCTGCACGACTATCATCCAACCACCACTAAATAACCACCAACACCACTACCACACCACAACAAGCACCACTAAAACACAACCATTTGCAAACAAA